CTAGCAAGGAGATCGGGCTGAAACTATAGCTACAAGCTATCCAAGGATGGTACTATAGAATGTCACCTCAAGGTAGGCCTAGTGGCGTCATCTCTTGGTTAGGCCGGAAACTTATCAATCCACCCTCGTAAATTGACCGAAAGAGAAATTACAGCACAAAGGTTTGATTATTGGATTATAGAAGCCAAAGGTATAGAGATCCATGAAAAGTTGAGGAAAATTCATGGAGACAAAACAGGGATTGAAGTAATTTCAATAGGGAAAAGCCAAAATTATGGACAAACTGACGCAGAATTGAAGAAGAATTTCTTAAAGATAATGAATACATGTAGTTACAGATGATGATAATCCACTTCCATAATTTTGGTTTGTTTATAATTCGATCTGGAACATTTTTCAACAAAATTCTGTAAATCTCATCAAGAACCTGATTCCTGAAAAACCAATGCCAGGTTTTTGGTTTACCTTTCAAAGAAAATAAATACAGTTGAACCTGGATAAGTGAGAGCTCAAGGGACCGCGATCTGTTTCTCTCTTATAGAGGTTTCTCGCTAACCCGAGTTTCTAGCTTACAGAGTTACAGGAGGAATTTGTCTCACTTATAGAGGTCTATAAAAATACGGTTCGACAACACATTGAGTTTTCGTTTAGACATTATGAGGAAGTACAGGACCTTTCTTCGCAATTGCTTTTATGAACATTTTATTTAAGATAATGGACACAATGCAATTTGATAAGAATTATTATAGTAAAAAAAGATTCATATAGGTACGTGCAGGCATTTAAACTTACATTTTTTTACGACTTAAATTCTTTTTTAAATCTGTGGCAAATTTACCTTATCTAAATGTTTATAAGTAGGTACCTAATCAATTGAAAACTTTATTTATACACTTATTGAATTATCTATTAATAACAGTGAGGTATTGTTTTATAATAAAATAAAGAACAAAAAAAGTTAGTATAAGCACCTACCTCCCCAACAAAATCAAAAATGGTTTTAATTAATTTAAAAGTAGAATATAAATCCCGAAAACTCTGACTAAAAACCTAAATACTCCTCATTTAAATATTGTATATATATT